CTTCAAGCACAGAAACTTCTTGCTTAGACCATCTATTCTCTCTCTTTCTCTTGCTCTCATACACACACACACACACACACACACACACACACACAATGTTCTCAAACTTTGGAAAAACAGGAATTTTAAGAAATCTGTTGCCAAAAAAACATGTTGATGCAGTGTTGAACTTAAACTTCAGTGGTTAGCTTTTTGAATGTTTGCTATAAGGACATTTTTAAAGGGTCTTCTGAAAGTTTGGGGGCTGAAGGCTACAATGGAGGAATGCTATATGAATTACCCAATTTTTCTGGTGTTGGTTGTTTTAATAGAATTTTCTTTCCTGACTAGTTCAAATTTTCTAGCATATGAATCACAGAGAACTAACAGCCACATACTACAGATTGTTGTGGCCATTGAGAAGACAGTGGTTCTTTCTAGAGACTGTGGACTGTGAGAGCAGCAGGGAGTCCAGATGCTATAACTTCACACTGTGATCACAGTCCTAAGTGCTAGATTTGAATATGCAAAATCCTATAGGAAGCTCCTTCTATATATAAAAGAATACCCCTCGCTGCACTTACCTTAGAAAGTGATTCTCAAACTTGAGCTGTATCAGGACCCCAAGGGGCTTGTTCAAATACAGACTGCAGCCTTATACCCCCAGAGTTTCTGATTTAGTTAAGTCTGGACTGGAGCTTGAGAACTGGCATTCTTATCAAGTTCCCAAGGGCTCTCTGGAGAAGAGGCTTTGAGGACTATTACCTAAAGTAGAAAGCAGTTTTCTCTATTTCAATGATGTGAATTTGTTCATCAAGAGGAAACTGGTAGTATTACTTTTTCCTGCCAATGGTGGGGAGTGTGTGATATTTATAATAAAACCAGATTTCAGAGTTGTGGACTCCACTGTTCTGTATTTGAGACCCAGGTGAAACAATACACAGATTCTCCTGGTCAGTGTTCTTTGGTTCTATTAATTCTACTTCTCTATTGAAAATTATTTTAGATAAAGAACATGCAGGTTTTTTTCATTATTTGAAGGAGCTCCTCTGTTAAGTGCTTAAGAGAGTAAATATTACAGATATTAATATCTGCACAGATATTAATATTGAATCTAAATTGGAGAGACCTTCTTCTAGAAGGAAAAAAGACTTCAGGTACACCTGGAAACAAAGGTTTATTGAAGTTCTAACTATTCATCCCTGCCTGCCTGCAGTAGGTAACTCTTGCATTCTTTATATCTGGGAAAAATCTGACTTCTCTGATGCCTTGTTATAGATTGTGTGAAAAGTCTATCTAAGCAGGATCAATATTAACCAGGATAGGAAATCTGAAATTTAATATTTAGGTCAGTTAAAGTGAGAAGAAGGATGATTGTCTTTGGACATGGCGTTTGGAGCACCCCTCTAGCTACAGGCAAGGAGGCTTCTTCCTGAATTCTAATCCCCTGCCTTAAGACCACAATCTTGGCTGATTTGTATCTACTACTCTTCCATGGAAACAGTGAAACAAAACTGTGTATGTAAAACTGTTTCTCCTACAGGAAGCTTGCTTACAAAAACAGCAAAGTGCCTTCTATGGAAGACTATAAAATCTGCATGACAATCAAAGATAACAAAATTATGGAGTAAGAAAATGTGTTTAGTTTTTACAATTCCATATAATATGCTTCTGTTAAAATGTTTAGTGTATTGACACAGAATATTTTTTTAAATGCTGGATAGATAATGCTTTTCCCTCTACTGACATGCTTAATTATGTATTTTCTTCTGTCGAAAATATACCTTCTGGGGCTGGGGTTGTGGCTCACTGGTAGAGCGCTCACCTAGCATGTGCAAGGGCACTGGGTTGAATCCTCGGTACTACATAGAAAAAAAATGAAAAAATAAAGGTATTGTGTCTGACTACTACTAAAAAAAATATTTATATAAATATATACCATCTGGGCTGGGGTTGTGGCTCAGCAGTAGAGTGCTTGCCTATCTCGTGCGAGGCACTGAGTTTGATCCTCAGCACCACATAAGAGTAAATAAAAAATATAAAGCTATTATGTCCAACTACAACAACAATTTTTTTAAAATATATCATCTGAAGTGATTCCCACAATAAACTTGTAAGATGTTATCAGCCCATTTTACATTTGAGGAACCTCAAGAAAATTTAAATTGACCCAAGTTGTAATTAGTAAATGGCAAAGTTCAACCCATCTCCTGACACCCAAATCAATTTTTTTTTTCTGTCCTACTTTGGCTATCTATTTCTAATCTCTATTTTATTTTAGATCAAGATTGAATATGTTCTCCTATGTAGATAAATATTTCATATATGTAGTATTTAGCATAGGAAAGTATGTACCTGGGTCTCTTAAGTCTTTTCTCTGAACTATAAATATCTTGCAAATCCCTGATACACTGAGAGAGCTCGCACTTGAATAACCAATGAACTTCACAGTACAACCTAATGGTTAGAATCCTATTACAGAAATGCCTAGTTCCTAGGAATAAGGAGTGTTGGACAAGTAATGCTTATTCTATTAAGAACCTTTTAAAGTTTTTTTCATAAGAACTATCCATTTTAAAATTTTAAATTGGAAAATACTGTAAATATGATTTTTTTAAATGCCCCAAATTGCTTTATCAGCAGAACCATATTTCCCCACTCCACAAAAATCCTGTTCATTCCATGAAGAGGGGTGAAACAGGGAATCCATCCTTGCCCTGCACAAGGCCACCAGCCTTAGAGGAAGACACAGCATAAACCAATTCAACATCTGCAGCCATAGTGAAGACTTTTGGGGGGTAGTACCAGCTGAAGGAATGATGTGGATTTGAGACTGCCAATTATAACATTATTACCAAGTGAAAGTTTACCTGAAAATGAGCCCCAGTCTGGCTAAGAGGTGGATTTAAGAATAAGCACTATTGGGGCTGGGGTTGTGGCTTAGTGATAGCGCATGCACCTAGCACATGCAAGGCCCTGGGTTTGATTCTCAGCACCACATAAAAATAAATAAATAAATAAAATAAAGGTATTGTGTCCAACTACAACTAAAAAACATATTAAAAAAAGAATAAGCACTATTAATTCAATCTCCCAATCCAACCACTTTCTAAAGTCAAGTCAAAAAGTAATTTCCTTATTTTTCTTAAGCTAATTTGAGTTTCTCCAAAGAATACTAGTGTAAAACTCTTTCTAAAATGTCTTCTTTGGATTTATTATATTGAGAGCGTTGAATGCAATTTACTACCCGTATAATATAATGTATAATCTGCAACTTATACATTGTCCTAAATGTAAAAATGGGAGTAAAATAAAGTAGTAGTTACTTGGCAAAGCTTTGTGAGGAATAAATGAGCTAAAACACAGAATACTAACTGCCATTTTGAGCATTTAACAAACATAAGTGCCCTTCTTTGGTTTTTCCAAAACAACAACAAAATAGTTAACATTTGAGTAATTCTGGCTCTAAGCTCATCAATGTGTGTAGCTACCATGAAGTACGTCCTCTCATTAGAGATGTCTCAGTATTGTAGTTTATCCAAGGAGACACACACCACAGGAGAACTGGGGTATGAATGATCACATTATACAATCATAGAGTCCTGTTTTCTGGATTTTGTTTTCTTTGCTGTGAGGCTCTCACCTCGCCTATGTCACCAAGCTCATCTTCAGAAAATGTTTTCAAAGTTTAGTATTTCTCCTCTTCTGTGGAAGAGCTCATCAATTTCGCTGCACATTTAATATTGAATAAGTGCAGATCTGAGAGGTACAATATACAGATAATATGGAGGATAATATGGAGGTTTAGAAGCTGTTTATATATTGTGCAAAGCATAGTGTCAATGTGTTATATATACATATCTTTGCTCTACTTTCAGTTATTCCCTAAAATAAATGCATAATTAGCCATGATAATATATGTTTACTGAGTACTTACAATGTGCCAGGCACCCAGCCAAACATTAACCTAAGTATTTAATTTACTCATAACCACCATCAGAACTATCAGCGTATGCTGTTGTGGTGGCGCATGCCTGTAATCTCAGTAGCTTGGGTGGCTGAAGCAGGAGGATCAAGAGTTCAAAGTCAGCCTCAGCAAAAGCAAGGTGCTAAGTAACTCAGTGAGACTCTGTCTCTAAATAAAATACAAAATAGTATTGGGATATGGCTCAGTGGTCAAGTGGCCCCAAGTTCAATCCCAGGTACACACACACACACACACACACAAAGAACTATTGTAAAAGATCAATAGGAGCTGAGGAAGCTGTAGTCCCTGGATGCACAGGGAGCAGTGGGAGGACAATGTTCAGTGTGTGAGGGCCACACCCATCAGGTTAATTCCCCACACTTGCCTGCCACCTAACACACTGTGGAGCACCCAGGAAGTGCCCAAATCTTCAACAACAACAAAAAAATTATCTCTAATAAGAGGACACTTTCAAATTATATAAAAGGGGACTGTAAAATGAGAAGGGCATGTATTGTGTAGCACAGAAAATATTTTTAAAGGCATTCTTTGTTGACAATTTGTGGTACCTCCTTTAATCCTAAAATGTTCTTATGGTCATTATGAAACATATTTCCCTTCCTCTCTTTCTCAGGCAGATTTACATGATCTAGCCACCTAACAGCCAGCCAGTGATATCAGAAGCCTAGGGCTATATAGCTGAAAATAAGTGAAGAGGATGATCAGAAAAACTGAGTGCCATGAAACAAGTTTGTGTTTATTTTATGGCCAACTGAATTCTCCACACCCTCAACCCCCCTTTTTTATTATTATGAGCAATATTGCCATTATGATACATTATGATAGCTATAAGAGTGAAAGGATTAATTAAAACAGTAATTATCTGATAAGACTAGCATACCTTCTAACCTAATTTAGGGCAAATTCATCTACTTCAACTAAAAATACTGGACAGGGAAAAGAAACATGAATAATGAAATAATAATTAACCCTGCAGTTCTTGTTTCCACTGTATATTTCTAAGTAACCTAAGGTATCAAATAAAGAGTCATAGTATGTTTTTAACTTTTATTAACAAGAGTTTTGAGTACAAATAAATTTAACTTGACATTTAGAAAAATGATTTACTCTAAAACTTGTCCATTAAAAAAAAAAACCCTATTCTGTACATTTTAATCTCCAATTTTAACACCATAATGTTTTTAAGTCTACAACTCAATTTTAGGTTTAATTTTAATAATTGTCTTATTGCATCTGGTTACAGATATCATGTAGAAAAAAAAGCAAGATGCTAATTAGAATAATCTGAATAAAAAAACTTTCCCAAAAGCCTTTATAAAGTCTTTTAAAATAAAACATAAAAATTAGAATAGTTTTGGCAGAAAATTAGCAGTTATAAACAAAATTATTACATAATATTTTATCAAGAACTGTATTATAAATACTATTATGCTTATTACACATATTAGAATGATTTGCAATGTAGTAAATGCAGATGTAGAAAATCTAAGAAAGCTTTTTAAAACAGTTTAGCACTCTGGGGAGTTTCTGTTCCCAATAAATGACAGGAACACAATTTATAAGATGATAGGTGGTACATCCTTTAATTAGAGGCCTAACCACATAAAACATTAGTCATAAAATGTTATTCTCTACTAAGCATTTGTAACATCTCCAGATACACTAGTAATTCTTTCCCCTTATCAGTATACATGCTTAGCATCAGAAACCATACTATGAGCAAATTATACAGATAACTCTTGAAATAATAGCTCACTTTGGAATAACTGTCAAACTTAAGTTTTTATTCTTCTGGACACACTCTTTCCTCCAATCTTCATTTTAACAGTGTTTTCTCCTTGAATGGTGATATACTATTAAAACCCAATCATACCCAGCATATTCCTTTGCAGCTGAAATGAATTACAAATAACCAAAAGAAAACCAATGCATTTCTACAGAAAACTATCCAACCTACTCTGCAGGGCAGAAGCTCTCTCCACCCCCCCCAAAAAAACAAAACAAAACAAAACAAAAAAACCCACCTTTTATCCAAGGCTGCTTTAAAACTAGTCCTGTAAGTCCAATTAGTATTATACTATTATTGTCTCCTCAGTGTGAGGGAAGTTCAAATCTTAAAAAGTATTAAAATTTTCAAATGACACTACTTTCTGTAAACATAATTGAGTTGAAAATCTTTCAACTCAAGATTGAGTTGAAATGAAGTTTTTTTCTATTTCTTGTATTTGATATGAAATCTTACACCCAGTCACTGAGATATAAAGAATGTATGAGAACAAGTAGAATTACACTGTACCCAGGTCTCTGGGGAGAAATGCCAGAGGAGAACAGTCCACATAGAAACTGTATTCTGAAATTCACCTAAGATGCTACAGAATTGTAGTTAAGTGATTTCAGGATATTGTAATTGAGAAATGAGTAGTGTTTAACCGAGTACTTTCAGAGGAATGGGAAGTCCCAATGTTGTCACAGTTACCACTCAAGAACAACTCAGCCTTGCCACTTAAGATAGGGACCTTCACCCCTATCCATAGAAGGTAGGCTTCTACATGGCATCAGATTTCTACCACCTGGACTCTACCTTTCTCACCACAGAGTTTTTCACCCTTAATTTTCATTCAGTAATCAGTGAGAAGATTATATTTATCTGAGAATCTAACCAAAATAAATAGGGATAAAAGTAGAAAACAATTTCCAATGAAGTAAACTTCCCATACAGCTAGTTTAAGAGGTAAAACATTTCTAAGTAAAAATAAAATAAGAGAATATTTTTGGTTTCATTCTAAAAAGCTCTCTTCATTCCTGGCAAACTACTATGTTGTGTAGATATAATGTACTTTTAAAAAAAATCCTTTTTTTTTTTACTGTATTTAACTACTTGAAATCATTCCTTAATAAGGACCTTTTAACATTAAAAAGTCTAAATGTTTATCATAAATACTGTATTAAAATATTTTAATATTTACAATTTGAAAAAATGTATACTCTAGTCAGTCATCTCAGTGCTACTTCTTCAATTTCATCTTCCACAGAATCAACTGCTTTTACTGCTGGTTTATTGTTTGCATGTTTTAATCGGTGTCTATTTGGATTAAAACTTTTTCCTTCACCAAGGAAATAGTCTTCATCTTCATCATGTTCTCTACCCCTGCTGCTTTTATCTCCAGGGAGAAAATTTAGAGACTCAAAGTCTCCTTTGCTGGCAGCCAGAGAATTTGGGTCACTGCTTTTAGAGGAAATGGGACTGCTGCCACTAGTACCAAATAGCTGTTCCATCAGATTGGCTTTTTTTTCTTTTCTTGCAATGAAATCTGCACTGTCTTTACTAAGGTCTTCCATACTGTTTTTTTTTAAATCCAAAAGGCCACTTTTTTGGCTAAATGGATTTGACTTCCCTGGTGTTTTTGCAAATGAAGGCACATAGCTACCAAATGCAATCTCATTTGGAGAGATTTGACTTCTAATAGTTCCTGAATTCCGACCCTCTCCTTTTGGAGTAAAAAAACTTATGTCTTGCAATTGATGCCCATTAAATAATCTCTCTGAGGATTCAGAGAACATGTATGTTTTGGAGATTTTCTCTGAGGAATGCAGTTTTGATCCCAAATCAGGTATTAATGGCAAAAGAGGACATTTTAGATTCTGAGAATCTTGAAGTTCTCTGTTGATTTCATTCAGTTTAGCAAGTAGCATTTCTCTCTTCAGTCTTTCTTCTTCTTCCTCTTCCAATTTATCAATACTTTGAAGTTCATACATTTCCATTTGGTAGCTTCTAGTCTCCAACTCAGGCTCCTCTTCTCCCTCTTTCTGCTTTTCATTAAGTTCTTCTCTTTCCCACTCTGTATGAAATAAAAAATTACAAACTGAATTTTATAGCAATCAGTATTTTTTTAAGAAGGGAAAAAAACCTACCATATTTTATAATACAACCATTTTTATCTAATTTTAGTATTAAAATAGGGTTCAAATGGACATCATAATATTTCACTTCTATATTTGTTTTTCGAGAATAATATATTTAATGTATACTTCATTTAAGAATCACACTTATAGAGAAACTTGTTCTTCAAAGTATGGATAGGGAAGGTTCTCATTTATTTAAATAACTAATATGATGCTATACATTTTAAGGTGGGTGACAGGATGGATGCAATCGAGCAAAGAGTTTTAAAGTTAAACCCTTGGATGTCATATCTTGAGAAGGGCACAATACCACTTACATAGTGTTCGACAGCAGATGCGTACAGGCACTAGGTATACAGTTCACTCTTAAATAGTTTTTTGGCTACTCATGCCATTTTCTATAATTTTGAAGTTATTTCCCAAATTAAACATTAAAAATACTAAAGTATACAAGAATACCACAAATGTGATAACTTCAGTAAATGGCATACATTCTCATTAATGTCAGAGATCAATCCATATAGACTCAAAAAAAAAAAAAAAGATAGTCAAAAGGACAAAAACAAGTGACAGTCTTCTGCTATTTTATTCCTTTTCCTGTTACCTAGATGGAACTGACCATAATACCTAATTTTCTGTTCTGTAGTTAAACATGTGAAAGCATCTTGTTCTGTCCATTAGCCAACAGTGATGTAAATATGGCTTCTATTTCAATAGTTACACAGTGTTTACAATCACTGGGTCATGATTTTATGTTCCATGAATTTCCATGAAAGAAAAAGAAAGAAAAGGGATTTCTTTATAAGCAGATACTATACAACTAATGGAAACAGAATACATTCAAAAGATTATAGAGTTGAGCTGAGGCTGTAGCACAGTGATAGAGCACTTGCCTAGCCTGTGCAGGCAGGTCCTAGGTTCAATCCCTAATGTAACAAACAAATAAATAAAAAATCCCTCTTGCCCATACTTTTATGACATTTAATAAAGATGAAAATGAAAGTATTCTTGAACTTCATTTCAGTAACTAAACTTATAGGAGTTATTTCACTAAACTTCTACATAATGATTGAACATATTCAAGATTTACTTTGCAAATTAAAATCAAATAAAAATTGCAAGGATACATTCAGGTCCTCGTATTTCATTGACTTTTACACTTAAGCTAGTCCATGGTACAGAGTCCCAAGGCTGAACCAATAAAGAAAGCTATTTTTCAGCTATTTCTTCATCAAGTTTTAATTCATACACAAAGAATTTTCCCCCTTCATTGAGTTGTTTCATCTGAATTTTCTGAAGGTAACCTGTTTTTATTCTGTAACCCCAAATAGTGAGTAATAGTCAATATATTTATTTCCTTAATAACTTCATTCAAATAGTTGTGACTCCTGATATACCACTGCATCAACCTTTTCTTATTCTGTAATCAATTCATGGTTCAGCTGGACAATACTAAGGGATCCTAACCATTTCTTTCCCAAGGGATGCTGATTCATTACTTGCTTAAACAAAGTCTTTTTCTTACCATTCTTTAGTTTCTCTATCTCCTGTTTTGCAATTTGCAGTCCTTGATCTTTAATGCATTTTTCTTCTTTGTTCACAATTGGATTTAGAATCCCTGCTTCTTCATGCTTATCTTGCTCTTGGAATTCCAAGTCCTAGTATACATTTTAAAAATGTAAATTTACTTATAGAAAAGGGGAAATACTATTTAAATATTATAGATTTCTCTTTCATTGTTAGAAATTAAAGCAAAATTTCATCTTTAATGAATCAGAAAATCACAAGTTATCATGCTTTGAAAGATGCTTCAGAAACACATAGGATTATTTCTTACTTTAAATTTTTAAAGAAGCATTTATAAGTGATATCAAAACCAATATAATGGAAGCAAATCCAACATCCTGCACAAAATTCTGAAAAAAAAAATAAGTTGCAGAAGCATCTTCATACATTCTCACTACAAAATGTTAACCAGATTTTGTTCAATAGCCATTTCTGGTTAACCAGAAATGGCTATTAAACAATTATGGTAGCCAACTGAGACATATATAATTTTTCTTAATAAAAATAAGCTATCTTTATTAGTAAGATTCACTTTCTTTAAGAACAGAATTCCCTGAGTTTCGACAGGGCACAGGGGCTGCTCTGTTGGATACTACATTTGCTAGCCTCCCTTGTACCTAGACAAGACCAAAGTGGGTGAGCAGAAGTGTGCATGCAACTTCTGATCACATTTATAAAACAGCTTGCCCTCTAACTTGTTTATTCCCTTTTTTATAGAATGGTAAGCCAGTTCCAAAAATACAGAAGGACTATACTCTAAAATGCAAGACCAGTAAAATAGAGTGACTACCACAAACAAAGTTGTATATACCACCAATCCTGGACAACCCATTTGACTTTAGTCTATTAAAAGAGAAGGGTATTTGTTATCCTACTTTGACCACCATATTTCTCAAAGCAAGTTAACCTGCACTCTAACTAAGCTGTCACTTGCTGAGGTCTTTTAACAGTGACCTCAGTCTTAAGAGGCTCAGGCTAAGAGCTTTAGAAACTTCATAATTAGTCATCTTTATAATCCTGAAAATCACTCCCATTTTAAAGATGAGGAAATTGAGATTGAGACTCTAAGGAGTCAAACAACTAAAATGTTAAGAGCCATAATTTTTAAAGCAGATCAAATTCTAAAGCTATATTCTTTTCACAATACCAGGCTGCTGATGCTCCTGATGAATCTTTTTAATACTTCTTAAAAATACTTTAAGAATTACTCCATTATTCTCTACCATTTTAAAGACATAACATGATCTGGTCTCAAAGGGTAAATACAGGAAGAAACAGCAAGTACAACTTATGTATCTGAATTTTTCTAAAACAAAAATGAAATTAAAAAGCTAGAATACACCAAGGAACCAAATCAGTCCATTTCTGATTTATACCTTAAGAGATGTCATACACTGGGAAACTTTATAAGGTACAAAAAATATAACATTATATGAAATGTTCTGGATCCCTGAAATATTGTTTTTTTGAATTGTAAATATTAAAGACAAAACCCTCTTAAAGGGATCTGCAAGTGATTTAATATGAAAGTCCTTTTAAATGATACTCTAAATTCCACTCTTAATTTGAATGGTATGTCAGATTCCATCCTTGTTCAGCATTCAGTTAACCCATAAAATTCTCAGGCCCCAAAATATTACATTTAGTCAAGTTCTAAAAAAAAAAAAAAAAAAAATCACTTGAAACCTTTAGTTTGCTATTAAAATAAATAAAAGCACTGAGGGTTTTCTAAGAATATATAAGCAGATAGAGAAAAATGTATTCCTATTATCTTCAACCTAGAAGGTATGATCAATCTCTCTGTGAAGCAACTGAAAAATGCAATGTAAACTAACTAAATTTCAATCCAAAGAAATTTAATAAAATGCACAGTTGTTACTACCTCTTTCTCTTTAAAAGGCTAGTTGAATATTCATACAGATATAGTACTAGGCTCCACCACTGAATTTTTAAATGTTTGATACTATGTTTTTAGGGACAACTTTAAACCCAGAGTTTGGCGCATAATCAAATATGCCTGAACTCACCAAAGTAAGACATTCTGGTTCCTCCCATTTATTTTCACAAATCATCATTGTTTGTGGTGTTACAGGTAATTCTTCCAACTCACAATCTTCAATGGTTTGTACTTCTTTTGTACACAAGTCTGTAAAATCACTCTGGCATGCAGCTACCATGAAAACAGTACAAGAATTTTTCTAATCCCACGGAACAGTGGTAAGATACATAGAATTCCACTGGTATATATGTTAATCTAAATGAGATACTGCATGTTTTGCTCAGCCCAACAAATGCACATTATTACTATTTTTGTTTCTAAGATTTATAGGCAATTATGGGATTGGGGGGCAATTCTCACTGTAAATTCTATTACTTTTTACAAATTTTTTTTTGGTCCTGGAGATTGAACTCAGGGGTACTCAACCACTGAGCCACATCCCCAGACCTATTTTGTATTTTATTTAGAGACAGGGTCTCACTGAGTTGCTTAGTGCCTTGCTTTTGCTGAGGCTGGCTTTAAACTCATGATCCTCCTGTTTCAGCCTCCTGAGCCATTGGAACCACACCTGGGAATGTTTACAAATTTTATGTTTTAAAACTCTCTCAATTCATAGAAGAAATATACTTTCATTTAAAAAAATGCTAAATATTTATAAATGAAATGTCTGGTATTTAATCTAGCAAAAGCATCAAAAAGCAGATAAAATAAAATTCTCTCTACTTTGGGTATGTTTATATATTTTCGCATGATTCAAAAATTACTATAAGAATTTTTCAAAACAGCATGTTACTTAATTTTAATAACCTCTCTTCAGGAGAAAAAACTGACAAGGATTTCTGAAAATTAACTATAACGAAACAAACTAAAAAATTGAATTGAATTTAAATGTATTTCAATGGGGTTGTTTATTGTTCTTTCCTTGTACTTCAAAATTAATTAATTTTATTAATAAATAATAGCTACAGGGGCTGGGATTGTGGCTCAGTGGTAAGGTACTTGTCTAGCATGTGTGGGATACTGGGTTCAATCCTCAGCACCACATAAAAATAAATAAATAAATAAATATATTGTGTTCATCTACTACGAAAAAATATTTAAAAAAATAAATAATAGCTACAATATCAGTTTTCAACAATAATGTCTACTATACCATTCTTCCTTGGTGTAATTTCTTTTTCTTTCTTTAGAAAGGACTTTGGCAGGCGATTAGAATATATGTTTTTTATGTCCAGTTCTCTCTCCTTTTCCTGAAAACAAATCCATATACAATGAAGTGAGGGTGTGTGTCACTTTGCCAATCAACATTTTCCTTAACAAACTGAAATAAACCTAGAGTTCAGCTTCCTTTTTTAACTACCAAGTAGAAAAAAATGTCTCTAGCACATTTAGATTAGGGAAGAGTAATGCTTTTTCCTATGAAGTCCAATGTTCTTGACCATTTTGGGACTATGACTCTGAAAATTTGATTAACAAAAAGAAAATTATGTAAGATAATAAATGATTTTGCACAATTCTGCACAAAAATTCAATCCATCATTGATCATTAGATAAAATTAAGAATATGTGCTTTAACAACATTAAATAATTTGAATGATTCTTCTAAACACTATGAAAATCATGTGACCTTGATCTTCTGAATTTGACTTATTTCACTTAACAGAATGGTTTCTAGTTCCAAGCATTTTCCTGCAAATAACATAATTTTATTTTTCTTTATGACTGACTAAAACTCCATTGTGCATATATACCATATCTTTATACATTCATTCATTGATGGACACCTACACTGGTTCCATACTTTGGCTATTATGAATTGTGCTGCTTTAAACAAGGGTATGGGTATATCATAGGAAAATATGTAAAAGTCATAAATTAATTCTTTAGAATAAATACTGAGGAAAGGTGTATTTGGGTAATGTGGTGGTTCCATGCCTAGACTTTTGAGGAACCATCATACTGATTTCCATAGTGGGTTATACTAATTTACAATTCTACCAACAATGTAAAAGTAGAACACAGATTATTTAACCAGGCAACAAAAATGCTAGTTCTTTCTACAGTTTTCTTTCAGGATTTAACAATTATTTCACATTATTCTTACTGCTTTACTTTGTATAATTATATCAAAACATTTTCTATCTAAGCACCAAAGATAATAACAGAATTTTATAAATTATACCATACCAACCTAAAAACATGAATAGTAAGAATGTTTTAAAATACTGGGTTTTCATCAAGTTTATATTACAGAGAAAATAATGCCATTTAATGTGTAAAGTGCTTACTTTTAATTTGTGATACAGTCGTTGTAACTCCTTTTGAAGAACTTTGTTTTCATCCTGAGCCTCATATGCCCTTTTCCTTTCAGCAAGCAACTGTCGTTGAAAACTGTTAGTACTTAGCTCAAGGTTTTTCGATAATTCCTGGGTGTACAAACATATTTCAAAAACAGTATTAATTAAAAGAACCCAATAGTAAAACACAGCACTTAGAGGTGTCAAAATGATGTTTTTAGTGATTCTAATTTTAGACATAAAATTAGGCTGGCTGGACTTGGTCTTCATGAACGTAAAATAAACTGGGAAATAGATTTACCAACAATTTAATAAGATACCTACTTAATTATTTCTTTTAGCATTTTTCACAGTGATTTGTAAATATATTCTTAAGCATTTGAAGCACGCACACATAGAGCAAAAAGATAGCCAAAGAATGGGATAAGAAGCATAGGCTTTCAGAAATCACTGCTTAGGCAAGGTGCAGAGGACAGAACACATCTCTAGATAAAAACTACAGCTATTACCATTGTCTTTAAATATCTCCCATGAAGTTTATGAAAGTATTTAGGCTAAAATATTTTCTTTTAAAATAATATGTCGGGCTGAGTTGTAGCTCATTGAGAGAGTGCTTGCCTAGCACATGTGAGACACTGGGTTCAATCCTCAGCATCACATAAAAAAAAAATATATATATATATATATATATCAAGATACCATTCCTAACTCTGAATGGAAAAAAAAAAACATGCTTTGTGTATGCAAAAAAGTATTATAAAATCACAAAGAACATGCCTGTAATCCAAGTGGCTCAGGAGGCAGAGGCAGGAAGATAGTAAATTCAAATTTCAAAGCCAGCCTCAGCAACTTAGCAAGGCCCTAAGCAACTTGGTGAGACCCTATCTCTAAATAAAATATCAAAAAGGGCTGGGGATGTATTCAGTGGTTTAGCACCCCTGGGTACAATTACAGTATACTTTAAGATATTATAAAACTACAAATAAAATCAGAAAATAAAACAGTCACAATCCCATTATCCTGTGATCATGATTGTCAACATTTTAGTGTACATAATTTATGACTTTTACATATTTTCCTAATATAAATGCCTAAGCCAGCAGAATTTAATATAATTTTTTTAAATGGAATACTTTTCTATCTTCTTGTAGTAACTTGTAAGTTCTGCTATTCACCACTAATGTGTTCCAATTTTTTCTATAGTGAATATCCTTGCATATATAACTTCAAACATATCTTTTATTATTTCCCCAGGGTAAATATTAAGAAAGAAATTTTCTTGGACTTTACTGAAATTAAGAATTCTCCTCTTTGAAAGAAACTGTTAAGAGAATGAAAAGATAAGCCATAGTCTGAGAAAAATATGTACAAATCATATGCTACAGTACATATCAAAGAAAAATGTATATGTATATATGTATGTGTTACAAAATTCAGTAATTAGAAACTAAACAGCTCAGTTTAAAATGGAGAAAATATTTGAATAGATAATTCACCACAGAATATATAGAGACAAGCACAAAGAATGATGCCTCAATATCATTCGCCATAATGTATGCAAATTAAAGCCACATGAAACAATATTTACTATTAAAATGTCTGAAACTAGAAAAACTAAGCACACAAAATGTTGGCAACGATGAACAGCAATCAGAACTCATACACTTTGGGTTGAAATATAAAATGGCATAATCATTTTGAAAAATTGGGGCAGTAAACATATACTTACTATATAATAGTCATTTCACACTTAGGTCTTACCCAGAGAAATAGAAGTCAATCTCCAAAACTTTTGCATGAATGTTCATACTACCTTCATTTATAATAGTCCCAAACTAGAAACAACACAAATGTCTACCAACAGGTTAGTGAATACTTAAAAAGTGGTATATTTCTATTATTCAGCAATAAAAAAAGATGAACAATTAATACATGCAACAATATATTCGAATCTCAAAATAATTTTGCTGAATGAAAGAAGCCAGGCATTAAACAATGCATACTGTATGCCTCCACTAAATGCAAATTAATTTATAGGGACAAAACAATGAGCTAAGTATAGGTGATAGGGATTGGTAAAGGGACAGCAAACAAAGGGACATTTGGAGAATACTGAATATGAGAAAAGGCAGTGGCACAGCAAAAGAAAGAAACAGCCCATCACTTGCTGCCCGATTCACAACCAGGGGAGAGGAAGTTTCCCCTCTGCAGGAGGAAAAGTAAAAATCCCAGCAAACTGTCAGCTCAGCCCAAATAGCAAAGGCACATGAAATATGCACAGTAGTAAGGTTTTGGAAAAGAAATTCACTGCATTTAAGATGGAAACTTCAGGAGACATCTTGAGAAGGGATCTATTATTTGAATTTAGACTGTTTTAGGGCTCAGAATCCTTGCATATTCCTATCCTTGGGACCCACAAACAACTCATGGCATTGGCTCTGCTGGTGGCTGCTTCCTAAGCCAGACTTGGCTCAGTGACACAAAATTTAGAGTGATATATGGTGGGGAATGGATGTTGAGGCATGGAAGTGAACTGAGTGCCATCTCTAAAATCAGGGAGATGGGAAGCCTGTCCTTAGACCAGAGGCACTGCCACTTATGTTACCCAGCTCCTATTATGAACTATTCCCCCACAATATCTGTCAAGCACTACAAAGAATGGGGCACACAGCCTAAGAAGGGTCAGAGAGGAACTTTGCCCAGTACTGGCTATATTCACCTCTCATTTTCTCCTGCCAGTATCTCTTGCCAGGGGTGATCCACTTACCCTTGATCCCTGATGGGCACTATTAAGAAAGTGAGGGGAGGGAAGAAAAGTCCTTGTTGTTGCCCTGTTTCTAGATATGCACAACTGCATGGGGGATGGGGATTTGTCTGTAGTCCCATTCCTAGTGGGCATGCCCACAGTAGCAGCCAAGAGGAAAAACAACCATTTCATCCACAGAACTAATGAACACAGAAAAAATTTTCAACTGCAGGAAGCCATCTATGAATTACATGAGGGTCTTCTCTCGTATGGTAGCCAGGAGATTTAGGTTTGGCATTGAGAATTATTTATTGCTCTCCCAAGGCAATAAATTGCCCAATGCATGTGACCTTTATCTCCAGTCTGCTAGGAAGACACCTCAGGAGATGGGCATAACCAATTGGGAACTGAATAGCCCAACTTTAAGCTTTTCTTTTTTTGGTGAAGAACATTCTATGGAAGGCCTTTGATGTTTCCTGATATAAATAAAGCAGGTGTGGGCTCTATTCCAGAGTCTGTAAGTTCGATCTATCCGACCAGCTTGCCCATCCTGCCCCAACTTTTGAAAACTACTGTGTTCTGTGGTTTTTTCGTCATTCTATTCTTCCTAGCTTTTATTTCTCAGCCAGCCTATTCCACTGAGGGGAACCCCATTTCCACCACCCATGTGGGATGTGGGCAAGACTCAACAAAATACTAGCAAAATTAATTTAATAATATAAATCAAGATCATATGCCATTATCAAGGTGGTTTTCATTCCAGGAATGTAAGAATGGTTCAAAACATAAATCAATAAACATAATACATCACATAAATAGAAGGATAAAATAATATCATTTTCAACAGATGAAGAAGCATTTGATAAAATTCAACATCCCCCTTTATGATAAAATGAGCTGAACGAAATAGATTTAGAAGGATCATACCTCAACCAAATAAAGTCTATATGATAAACCCATAGCCATCATCATACTGAATGGGGAAAAACTGAAAGCATTTCCTCTAAGGTCAGGAACAAGACAAAAGTGTCCATTCTTATGGCTCTTATTCAATATAGTACTAGAAGTTTTAGCCAAAACAATCATTCAAGAAAAATAAACAAAATGCATACAAAAAGGAAAGAAGGGCTGGGTGTGATAGCACATGCCTATAGTCCCCACAACTCAGGAAACTGAGATGGGAAGATCACTTAAGTCCACTAGCTTGAAACCAGCCTAGACAACACAGTAAGACCTAACCACAAACAAAAACTAGAGCACAGAAAGGAAGAAGTCAGTAGAAAAATCTAGAATTCCCCAAAAGACTGTTAGAATTGATAGATTCAGTAAAGTAGCAATAGGCAAAAATAATGTGCAAAGATCAGTACTTTTTCTATATACCAATAATTAATATGCTAAGAACTCCGAGAGCAACCTCACTCACAATAGCCACAAAAATAAGATACCTAGAATAAACCTAATAAAGGAGGTGAAAGACCTCTACAAAGAAAAGTATAAACACTGAAGAAACTGAAGATGACACTAAAAGATGGAAGGACCTATATGTTCATGGATTGCAAGATTCAACACTGTTAAAATGTCCATAGTGCCCAAAGCCATCTTCAGATTCAACACAACCCCAACAAAATAAAAATGACATTCACAGAACAAGTAAAAACAATCCTAAAATTTGTATGAAAACCCATATTTTGTATGAAAAGACCCCAAATAGTCAAAGCAATCTTGAGCAAAAAGAACAAAGCTGGAGGCATCACAATATATGATTTCAAGGCATTCTACAGAGTTATAGCAACTAAACATCATGGTATTGGTATAAAAACAGACATATTATAGACCCATGAAACAGAATAGAGAACCTACAAGTAAATCCGTACAATTACAGCCAACTGATTTTCAAAAAAAGGTGCCAAAAAATACAATGAAGAAGACAGCCTTTTCAACAAATGATGCTGGGGAATCTGGTTATCCAGTGTCCTAATCCCTCTCATCCTATAGAAGAATCGACTTAAAAAATAAATACAAAACCTTAATATAAGACATAAAACCCTGAAACTACTAGAGGAAAACACTGGGGAAACACTTCAAAATAACTAGAATAGGCACATTTTCTTGCTACAACTCCCAAAGTACAGGAAATAAAAGCACAATTGACAATGGGATTATAGCAACTTAAAAAGCTTCTGAACAGCAAAGAAAACTGAATAAAAAAAAAATAACCTACATAATGGGAGGAAACATTTGCCAGCTATTCTTCTCAAAGAAGGTTAATAGTCAGAATATATAAAGAACTCAAAAAACTTAAGAAAAGTAATACAACTAAAAAATGGGCAAATGATCAAAATAGACATTGCTCAGAAAAATACAAACAACCAATAAATATATG